GGTTTCCGCCAGGGCCCCGCGCGCCAGGCCGCCGGCGCTCCGCCAGCCTCGGCGGCCAGGCCTTTCCCGCTTGCTGAGAAAGGGAAAAGCGCGCGCCCCGGGCCTGCGGGCGGGAGCGGGTTCGTGCCGACGGAGAGCCGGGCCCCCGAAGGAGCCAGACTGCCCCCTGCCAGCTCTATGAACATGGCCCGGCGGCGCGGGCGGCAGCGGTGTTCCCGGGAAGTGGCTCGGGCGATGGGCGGCCGAGAGCTCCGGTGGTTGCGCGGCTGCTGGGAACCCGCGGGCTGCAGAGAGAGGCAGGCCCCGGTTAGCTCGTCCTCTCCCCTCCAAAGGGGAGGTTGGAACTTTTGAACCCTTTACTTTAAAGTGATTGATCGCGTCCCACCAGAGAGCAGCTCCACCCCCTGTCCCCACCTCCGCCGCCTTCCCTTGTCACCTCGGCTCCAAGCGTGCGCGGAGACGCGCGGGGCGCGAAGGCTGGTGTGTTTGGACATGGAGCCGCAAACGCGAGCATTTGTGTTTGAACGCGCGTCCAGCAGACGCAGCCAGAGCGACTGTCGCGATTTTGGATGCATCCTGATGTGAGAACCCGTAGCGGGAGGGTTGGCTCTTGCCTCCTTCCCCACAGCCCTGTAGGTGAAAGATGCAAGAGACAGCTTTTCCCGTGAAACCGTCCCTACCCGCCTGCCTCCCTACATGGAAGTCCTCGCAGGAGCCGGGCTCCGCACGGGGAGTCTGCAGGGAACTCAGGATGAAGGCTCAAAGCCTCATGAGTTAAGTTGATTATTAATTTGGGCTCCTCGGAGCGAGTAACACACTGAACGCCTTTGGCTTTGGGAATTGTCCCGGAGTTGGAACTGAAGCATAGATGACCCCGGGCTGCCGATGGGAAACGCGAGTTGCGGAGGCTCCCGGACGTGTCTGAGTGAGCTGGGTAGAGCTCCCAGGGCAAAGGTTGGCTCTTCCTCGCCCCCAAATAAATTCTTGGTTAACTAGTGTAGACTAAACACATTAGTATTGTTAAATGGGTAAAATAGACGGGGTTGAAAGTAGGGGCATGTCAACTGGACCCAGACCCGGTCATACTTCTCCTCTGGTGACAAGTCAGGGTGCTTCCAGCGCGAAAATAGAAATGTAACATTCAACTGGACGAATTAATTTTTGACGGATTTACGGTATGATTTTCTTTCAAGCTGTATTCATTGGTTCTTTCCATCCGTAGTGCGGTCCAAAGACAGAAATATAAACAAGCTCTGCTTTGCGGAAACCCCTTAACAGTATCTCCCAAAGAAAGATCAAGACACTTTGTGAATTTTCCCCAGATAATGCCTCATATTCCGAATGACTGATCAGAGAACTCCGGTATTGTTAAATAAAATGAGAGGAAGGCGAGTGACGTGGGAGCCGAACAATGGCATTTCTGAATCTGTTTGCTTGATTGACATTTGGGAGCTTCATGACCCCAGGGAATAGGACTCATTACGGTGAATACACCAAAACATCAACCAAGATTAGAACTCTAGATCCTGTTTTAATCCCATTTCAGTCTAAATTATAGTGGGAAAATATAAAATCCAAGAGGAGAGAATTGCTTTACCATACATTGACCTAAAGTTTTCATTGTTCTAAGGGGGAAATAAAAGTGGAAAACCGATATACTTTTCATCGCTTTAGGAATAGCACTGACAACTAAGTGTAAGGGTTTGGTAGGGTAGGTACTAAGAATATTTATGTGGTATAAAATTTTTATACTTATTTGGGGAGACATACTGGAGAAATATATAGGGAGTTTTTTTGCATATATGAGAAAAATATAGTTCTCCTCCACTGGATCAAAATTGAGGATCATCAGCCAAGTGATGCTAAGAAATAATTAGATACCTTAAAGGTGGTGTCTAAATTTGCATCATTATTTGGAAGACTTCTCTATTTTGGGGGAGAGTTTTTTTTTTTTTTTTAATGTCAAAAGTTGTGTTAACGTGTAAATTTAACCCAGGAAATTGTCGAGAGCTGATCTTCAATTCATGTTGGAAAAACAGAATGTGTTTGAGCAAAGTCTATTTTTAACCACAGAAAAGTGTGAGATAATGTGGGCGGTGTGTTAGGCGGGAGTATAATCTATGGCAACTTCACTATACAAAAAATTTTGATTCTTCAGTGGAATTTATCCTCAAATCTCAGACACTTGAAAGACTGGAAGTCTTAAGCATTATAAGTTAAACAGAACCAACAGAACACAGAAAGACAAAGCTGTAGTAAAAGCTATTGTAGTGATATAGTCTCCTATTTTTTAGTAGGTAAATTACAGCAAGGGGAATGTAACAGGAAGATATAAAAATAGAGAAAATATATTATAAATAATGGAATGGAAGGAGTGGCTGCACAATACAGCTTCACAATCTCATAGTTTGAGGGATGGATTGTAATGAGAAGCTTCTGTGTTGTATGGGAGCTAGGAATCAGAAGAATTATTTATGCAGCAAGAAGGAACAAAAATTAATTATTAGGAGCTCAGTAATCACCAAATAAACCCTGAGCTTTGAGGTTAAAAATAGACGACTATCTTCATGTTCAATTATACAGTATCAATTACTAATACAACTGATGCTTCAGTGTCTCAGGGAGACCAGATACCATCTTCTATGGAGATATCTTGGTATTAATTAATGACTGCTTTATTCTCATTATTCACAAGGAAAAATAGGGGTCGTGTCACATTAAAATTAAGATTATCTTAGTTTATCTGGGCTCTTAAACAAAGATCATTCAAAGTAATTATATTTTGAATTAATAGAGGTAGGCAATTTATCTCGTTATTTTTTGTTCAAAGACAGAAAATAAAGATCAGAAATAAGCAAAGTTTCATTTTGAAGATAGAAAGAACCAAACAAACATGTCTTGACTTTTGCAATATTTCCCTTGCTAAAGGGGAATGAGGGGACTGTAAAAGACGTGACTTTGCAAAGTCAAGTCCTTTTTAAAAGACTCGGATCGAAATTCTTGCTATGCAACAAGGATTCAGGTTTGATTAATTTTCTGCAAGCGACGTGACAGCGGTGTTTTAAAAGATTAATTAAAATTGAAGCGATACGGAGCAGGAATTCAACCTGCAGAGGCGTCCCTGGCGCCTTGGGGGTCTTTGCAAGCGAGTCCCCAGCCCAAACTGCGGGCTTTCCCGAGGCTGGGACGCAATTCCCCGTCTCCTGGAGAGGAACGCGGAATTTGGCAGGGCGCCCGCCTGGCCGCCTGGCATCCCGAGCTGGCCGCCAGCTCTCGGGGGTGGGGACGGGGTGTGTCCCGGGGAACCCGCTGCCGAGGGAAATGCTGGCGCGGCTCTCCACTAGCCAGTGAGGTCCAGGGTCACGCCGAGAGGCCGGAGGGGACTCCAGGAAGCCTCGAGAAGACGGCCCCGGGCCGCGGCCACTTCTCCGCGGGGAAGTGGACACCTACTTTGCGACCCGGCTTGCGCGGAGCCCCCTCCGGGGTCGCGAGCGTGGGGGTGCGTGGATGGCACTCTGCGATGGCGCATCCACAGAGCTGAGGACGTGGAGGGCGAGCAGAGCTGCGGCGCCCGCGCCGGGGCGGGGGCCTGCGGGGCGGTCCTGCCTTCTGGACTGCGACTCGGGGCTGCGGGAGGCCCTGCACCGCTCGGCCGCCCGGCCCAGTCCTCCTACCTCTCCGCTCACTTTGCCGCCCCAGCTTCTCCCCTCCCCCCGCATCCCTGTCCCCTGGCTTCTCTCTGCGACGCCTTTGCCCGAGTAAGAAATTCAGCTGAGCGCAATCGGAACTGTACTCAGGCAGATACAATCGCCGCAGCCCCCGGGGGCGCTCGCATTGGAGAGGCGATGCGGGTGGCGCCCAGGAGGCTGGGTGCGGGGAAGAAGGGGGCGTTCGTTTGCAATTCGCCTCCCCAGGGCGTGAGCTAGGGTGTCCCCTTCTCTCCAGTTGGGGGGCTTGGGTCCGGACAACGAGGCCTGGCTGCCCGGGCGGGCGGGGCGGGGCGCCTGGGGCTCCGCAGCGACACGGTGGGGGCGCGGGCTCTCTGCCCTGCGGCGGCGCCGGGAAACCCCTTCCTCTGCGGCGGGTCCCTGGGGATTCTGGGCGAGGCGAAGGCGACGTGGATTCTCCTCCCCCTCACGCCTGCCTCTCCCACCCTCTTCCCCGAGACCTCGGAGGTGGCCGAAAAGTGGGAAGGGAGGCGAGCACACGGACAGAGAAGGCCTGGGAGCGGGAGATCGCGAGCTGGGGGATTCGGGGTCGGGAAGGGAGCATCAGGGCGCGAAGGAAGGGGCCTTGGGGCGAGGAGGACCCAGATGGAGAGGTGGTGGTGGGGAGAAGCGAGCGAGAGTCCTTTCCCTTCCGAGTGGCGCAGGGGGACCTCTTCCCCGGGGAACCCCCACCCAGCAGCTCCCAGCCTCAAGAACAAAGGGTCTGGGAGGCACGGTCGGGGTCGGGAGCGGAGGTGGAGGGAGGCAGGAAGGCAAGCGGTGGGGGCAGGGGAGGGCGCCTCCCGCATTTCCTCTGGCGGCCCTATGACGGAAAGCTCCCTGCAGCAAACGCCTCACGGAGGCCGCTTCAAATCCGGGAGGGCTCGGGTTCCTTACCTAACGGTTGCCCTCCCTCCCTTCCTCCCCCAGCGTCCCCACCCCCTCCGGGGACCGAGGCCCGGGAGCTGCAAGGCCGGCAGCGGCCGCGGCGCGGGCGGAACCGCGGGGCAGCAGCGCCTCCTGCAGGTGCCGGGCGCCCCCGCAGCCGCCGCGCCGCGCCGACTCTTAAGGTGGAACCAGCCCCGTTCCCCACCCGCGCGTTCGCCTCTCCCGCAACCGTGTTCCACCGGCTGCGAGTCTCCGCGCAGAAGCGGGCCTGACTGTCCAGAACGGTCGGTGTCTGCTGGTCCCTGCTGCTGTCTCCTTAATCCCTTGGCCCTGCTCCCTGCAGGACCTCTCCGGGGATGCCCCGGTATCGATTTCGACAGTTACAGCTGATGATTCCCCGTTGGTTTTAAAGGATGCATAAAGTCACGCGTCAGGGTGGAAAGACCAAAACGGCGTTTTTTTAACCTGAAAGCAAACTTTATTTTCGTTTATTAAAAGCAGAAAGCCAGCAGGAAAGCGTCGCCGAGGGTCTGTCCACGGATCTTTCGGATCCAAGTGTTCGGGATGAGACTGGCCGATCCGGGAATCGCATCCGGCGCCCACACCCCGCAAACTCGTGGGCAGTTGCGGGTGCAAGAGGCCGCGGAGGGGCGACGCGCCCGCGGGAACCCCTCCTTGCGCATCTCCGGCGCCCCAGCTTCAGCCTATTCTCGCCCGGACCCTTGGTTTATTTGGTGAAATCTGGGAACGTGGAGAGGATAGAAGAGCAGTTTTTCTTTCTTTCCTTTTTTCTTTTTAACTAAATGTGCGTGTTAACTCATCGTTTCTTGGATATAAGTGTCCTCAGCGAATTCTGGATTCTTGGGGAAAACCTACGAGCACTGAGCAGGACAGGAACACGCCAACTTTGGTTCCAGTGCCATCTGCAGTAAATTCCTTTGCTTTGCTCTTCCCTCCTCCGTGTCCTGGAGATGGAGGCCCCCGGGGGCTGCCCCAGGACACCAGCACACCCAGGACCTGGAGCCGGAGAGTAGAGCTGAGGGCGGGGAGGGCGCGGGGGAGGGGAGGCGGGCTGCAGGCCCCGGGCGTGGAGTTTACCTGCACCGTGGGAACCTCCCTTCCCCCGGGCGCGCAGCCCTGGCTCCGCCCTGCGGGGCCCCGCCCCAGGGAAGCCGGGGCCGCTGTCGGGCCGCCGCAGGGGAAGCTCGCCTGCGCAGGTGTCGCAGGGTCACACCCGCCCCGGGGGTTGCAAACCGCAAGCGAAAGTCGAGAGGGGCTGGAGCTTTTCCTCTAATCCGTTTTACACTGTGAAAACCGCAAAGCTGTCGCCTAGGCGGCCACTTTTTAATTGGGAGGCAAACAGACGAAACGCCAAAACAAATGCGCAAGCTGACTTTCTTTCCGGATGGTTTTCCTTCTCAACGAAACGCCCGCTCTCTGGTGAAAGGGAGGCCGATCTGCGCTCACGTTTGCTCGCTTCGGGGCCTGGCCTGGGGCGCACGGGAGCCCGCGCCCCCAGCGCGTGGGGCAGATCGGACTGCACCCCTCTCCCGGCGCTTTTCCCCCAGCCTCGGTCGTCCCCCGCGTCCCTCCTCGCCATCCGCTCCATGCACGCCCCATCCCGCAAGCTCCACGCAAGCTTTCTCGCTCGCGCTGCAGAGCAGATGTGGGTGCTTGGGTGTTGGGGGCTCCGAGCGCGTTGAATTGGCTCCGATTCAGATTCCTCCCAGGGCGGGAAGAGTAGGGGTTTGGGCCGCCAATCCCGGGGCTCGGAGACCTCCAAGCTGACCAGAAGAAGCACTTGCAGTCGCGCTTCAAGTCTCGCAGTTTTCCCTGGGGAAAAGCAGAAGTTGGTGGACACACTGCACGGCGCCAGAGCAAACTCTGAACTTACCGCGCGCCCTGCTGGGGTGCTCAGCCCCTCGGGGGAACCCCAGAGAAGCGAGGAGAGCAGGGAGGTGGGGAGGCCGCCCAGGTCAGGCGGGCCGAGTCCCAGGATTGTGGGTGTCCCCCTCCCACGTTGATCTGTTAAGGGTCCTACGTGGAAAATCATTTTTAATCAAACTGTGATGGTGGAGGTACAAAGAGGGAAGGAAGACAAAAGAAAGGAGACCTTATTTAAGAAGGAAAACTAGGAAAAATGGAGTGGTCAAACTGTGGAGAGGGAGGGAAGGAAAGAAGAATGGAGAAGGCTTTCCTTCTTTGTTCTATAAAAGCCCTAGCACTTTCTTTGAAAATCAAAGTACGGAGAGGCTGTCCTTCTTGGAGCATGGTTATGTAAGTGAGAGACACTGCGCGTTAGTTCACCTTTAAAGCATTTGCTGGGTGGAGTAAAGTTTTTAGAAGGTTCTTTCTCGCCCGGCCCCTGTTTGAAGCTCAACTCATTTTGATTTAAAGCAGATTTGAGATAAAAATTTCAGAAGAGAAACTGTGTGTATACATATATGCAGATGCAGCAGAGTTTGTATTCCCTTTAGTTTATTTCTAAGAGGTTCTATAGTAAATTGTATATGATGGCTGGTATATTTTTTTCTAATATTGTATTGTCACCCGAGAGAAGAGTCCAGAGTTATCTTTCTCTCCGCTTCCCTTTAATAAATCTCCTAAGAGAGAGAACTCTCATATGATCGTGGCTCTTTTCCTCTCTTTCTGGTTTGCTATCTTTCCCACACATGAACACACAAACACACAATATACATCACGCGCAGACTTTGCCCTGATCAGCCTGTAAAGTATGATATATAAATTCATGCCCCTGTTTTCAGTTTCCCCTGAAGTTTAGAACACTGTCGAGGGTCTCCTTTTGTTCCTCCCCATGTGTGTGCTTCATCAGGGATGTCTGGTAAACCAACACAACAGTCATCTTTGCTTTGAGTTTGTTTGTGATTAAATGGAAAATAACATTAATAAACGGTTTAAATGGTATTTTTTTATAGCAAAGTATTAACAAGTAATAAAATGAACAGTAGTTGTTCCAAATCTTCAGACTGATGGCTTCCCATTGGCAGTCATATTTTGGCAAAAGTATTTCATATTAATTGAAAATGACTAAAACAGTGCATGCATTCCGTTAAGAGAGGCTAACTCACTGAGCTTTACCTCCAGCAGCTTAAACTATCCAGTTCAAATTACTTAAGTAATTCCTACTGAAGGAGGGGTTGGGAAATCAGGAACTGTGGAATAATTTGTGCTTTTGGTCTTTTCATGAAGCTTTAATTAAATCTGATTTCTGTGAAAACTAAAACTAAAACAATACGATAACCCCTTAAGTGGCCTTGTAGAATAATATGCGATTCTTATAAAAAAATGTGTGCCCACTATATTTGGTGAAACTAGATGAATACAAATATAACTATTAAGTTGTTTTTCCAGTGATTTTTCTCTCTCAAATGTTAGACATGTAGGACTCCAGAACATGCACTTTAATGTGTTCTGATAATAAGAAAACCGTTGCTGGTTTTCTCAGAGGAGCACAGCTATCTAGGGGCCATGCCACAATCATTAGATCAACACCGTCTTTCCTGTCACATCATCGTCTACATGAAATTCCATTTTAGGAAATATGCAAGAATATTACATTTGTTTCAGAAGCTTGAAAATACAATAGAATTTGAAGTATTGAAAAATGTGATTCTTAGTTGACGGTATCTTAGAAGTTGCAGGGGTATCTCTTTTTGAGATGACTTTAATAATGACACTTTAATAATGTTGCAAAGTAAGGAAAGATTTCAATAGCAGGCAAGATGTGATGAATGGACACAAGGAACAATGAAGCTATTGACAAAACATGCCAACTTTTAGAATTCTATCTAAATTATTATTTTTCCTTACAGTGCAGAGAAAGACACCCAAGTACATCAATGTTCATCAGATGCAGGGTGATAGAAATGTGAGCGACAATTAATGGACTGTGCTTGTAGTATGATTGTTAGTGTAGGTGTGAGAGTACATGGAGACATTTTTTCCTGCTTAAAAAACGTCTGTGGTCTTCGGCTGAAATAGGGGAAGTTTATAGAAAATTGAGGCCAAGGAAGAGAAGAGGGAAAGAAGGCTGAAAAGAGAATAAAGCAAATTCAGTAATTAAAAAACGATTTGTTTTCTATTTTAGATTTGACTTTCGTCAATTGTTCCTGCCAGCTATTTCGATGAAATAAATGGAATGTCGCTTAACAGGCAGATGCTTTGATACATTTTCTTCTTAAAGGATCTGATTCCTGGCGTCCAAAGGAAACTGGAATTTAAGTTAGTGTTAGAACTTGAATTTGTTCTGCCAGAGTGAAAATTGGTCGCATTAGGCATCAGTCACAGGACTCTTACAGACCTGGCTAAAGCTGTGGATATGTTCTATCCAACTAAGAGACATAATAAAGTCTTAAGTAATGCTAGATGTGCTATGGGAAACCAGCCAGGGGGTTTTAATTTTTTTTAAAATGAAAGTTTCCTGATTTTACAGTCCTCAGAAATCTGGAACAAGTCTAATTAAGGTCATCAGGGCGAGTGAAAGCTTAATGCCTGACCCTTTGGAGATAACATAGTAAGAATAAGTTAAAATGCAAAATGTTCAGTTGTGTGCAATCTTTAGCAAGGATTCATTTCTGGACATTTTTCTGACTCACTTGCCCATACTTCCTTCTCATTGCAGATTTATAGAGCCCTGGGGGAAACCCTTGGAAGAAGTGATATATCAGACAGATATATCCAGAAGCTTAAAAGTTCGTGTCTGACTATATAAATAAAAATCTGAACAATAGCAGCCATAAAAAAGAAAATCAACTGTTCCTTAAATGAACAATTATACCCAATATATTAAGAGGAATGGGAAAAATGTGCACGTTATCCAAAAGTTCACGATTTATTAAATATAGGAGAATTTCAAATAAATTATATTCATAATATACATGTGGACTTATGTATATAAACATAATGATCATTGATAAATTGATTGGAACCCTGGCATGTTCCTCATATGAAAACTTTTGATAGCTTTCATTAAACAAATCATTGTACATTATAAGAATTTAAAAAGTACTAATGAGAAATAGAATATTAGACTCAATAGAAAAATTAAAATAAATTTAAATTCTCCTTAATTTTTCATAGAACTCTGTTTTTTGTTACTTTTCCTTTTGAGTAGAAAATTTGCCGACTTATTATTTGTGCATGAAGTTCTCCTTCTACATATTTCATTTTACTTACTTGTGAACAAATGTTATTAGCTAAGTTAATAGTACCAAACACAGTAGTCGTAAAATCTCAGAGGTAATGTTTTGATGTGAATAGTAATTCAAATTTAGAAGTATTTATGGATAACTCAGAAAGCTTACTTACTTTAGTTAATTATTTTCTTATTCTGGGCTCATTTTGTTGCCAACAGATTTTTGACTTCTTTTGACTACAGTGACAGGTAGCAACATTTTCAAGACGTGCAAAAATAAATGTTACCTTCAACAATATTTGTAATTTGGGACTTGCACTCAGCCTGTCCGAGTTCTTTAACAAATGGTTCAAAGTAGAAGAAGGAAGTAGTTTGCATTTCTTTTGCTGGTTAAGAAAAAAAATTGAGGAAGATTCCCCCAAATAAATTTAGGTAGTTTTTAGTTCTTACAAAATATCTGTTGGCGGGGCCGGCTCCGTGGCCGAGTGGTTAAGTTCTCGTGCTGCGCTGCCTCGGCCCAGGGTTCGGATCCTGGCGCGGACATGGCACCGCTCGTCAGGCCACATTGAGGCGGCGTCCCACATCCCACAACTAGAAGGACCTGCAACTAAGATATAAAACTATGGGGGGGGGGGGCGGCGGGGAGAGATAAAGCGGAAAAAAAAAACAAGATTGGCAACAGTCGTTAGCCCAGGTGCCAATCTTAGGGAAAAAAAAAAAAATCTGTTGGCTTCAGAAATCCTTGAGCCACGAAAAAGGCCCCATTAAAAGTTAGTGCCCACCTGGCTATTTACAGGTACACTTTACCAGAAGCTGCGCAGCAGAGCCCAGCTCTGCCTGGGTTTCTCCCCTCCCAGATCCAGAGGAGATTGCTTCGCCCTGGGGGAGCCTAGCTTTTCCCAACAAGGGTGGAAAAAAATGCAGTAGGCGGTTTCAAGCGTGTTGCCCCTGACAGCTTGTCTCAGGGGACTTAATATTCTAGGTGGCAATTGGCCAAAATAGTAGGAGACTTAGGTGACTGCCAAGCTCCGGTAGTGATGAAAGTGCTGCCATAACTCTCTAGAAAGCAGAAGGAAGATTTTTACATTAAAGGAAACTAGAAATGGAATGGCCAGTGGGGACGGAGAACCGCTCCTGGTGTGTGTGTATGTGTAGGCGGAAGGATAAACATTTGTAGATTTTTATAACCATCTTATAATAAAGTTATTGGAGAATTGATTTTGTAAAAAATCTTACAGCAAAGCTAGCTGGGAATAGCTTTGTTTATGTGAATATTGCTTTCCTTCATGCTTTAGAAATTGGAATTATATTATTATCAATACTTAACGTTTGTCTGTTCTAGGAAAATAACAGAATGCGGAATCTCAACAGTTGTTTTAATGGCGGCTAGTTCGTCCCGTTCCAGAAGGCACAATCCTTCGCCATGGGACTTTGCTGCTCCCATCCAGACGTGGAATCTCTTCTCCACCCCCTGTAATGCGGGCTGGCCTTTGTGACTGACTTTGACAAATTTGATATAGTGGAACTGATGTTTTCTAGTTCTGGAATTGAGGCCTCAAGAAGCTTTGTGGCTGCCACCTTTGTCCTCTTGGAACGCCATGCCACGCAGAAGCCCGGGATGAAAGGTCAGGAGGAAGACGGAGGGACGCAGCTGTCTCTGCTGTTCGCTGAGTCCAGCTCCCCGCACCCCACTGAATGCTGTCACACACATGAGCCCAGGCAAAGTTGGCACAAAAAGCACACAGCCAACAGAGTCATGAAAAATAAAAAAAAATCCTTGCTGTTTTAAGCCAGTAAGCTTTGAGGTGGTTTGTTATATAGCAATAGTAACCATACTTGTCTTGTTATCTGCAATTATTTCAATTGTATAAAATTGAGAGAGAATTTGTTGATATGTCAGGTGTCTAAATTGTGATCAAATCAAAGAGCTCTCAGTTTTTTGGTTTTTTTTTTTTTTTTTTTGAGTAAGATTAGCCCTGAGCTAACATCTGCTGCCAATCCTCCCCTTTTTGCCGAGGAAGACTGGCCCTGAGCTAAAATCTGTGCCCATCTTCCTCTACTTTATATGTGGGATGCCTACCACAGCATGGCTTGCCAAGTGGTGCCGTGTGTGCACCTGGGATCCGAACCGGCGAACCCCAGACCGCCAAAGCAAATGTCGGAACTTAACCGCTGCGCCACTGGACCGCCCCGAGCTCTCACTATTTTAAGAGCCTGAGTTAGCATATGTGAAGCCACCACGGGGGCCCAAGGTTACTATGTGTGATTGTTATCATGATGTTGATCCCTGAGGTTGGTGAGATTTAAGAAAGTCACATTATTTTATATCATCCCTACGGCAATGCAGTGAAGCAGGCAGGGTGGTTATTATGTTCATTTTGAAGATGGAGAAACAGGTTCAGGACAGCCACAGAAGTGTTGAGACCAACAGGCTTGAGAATGCATATCCCTGAGGAGATGTCAATGAACCTCATTTTTCTCACTTGGAAGATGAAGGGATTGTATCAGAGGATTCCTGAAGTCCCGTTAGCCACGCCAGACGTCTCAGCCTGGGCCACTTTAACCAGAGCCAGTGGAGAGGAGAAGAGGGTTGAGACCAACAGGAACTAAAGCTGAGCGAAACCAGCCTGCATGAGGCCTAGGCATCGGGATGTAATGGAAAGCCAATCATTCACTTCATTCATTCATCAATAATTTGCTGAGTCCTTTTTATCTGCCCAGCACTGTTTTAGGCATTGGAGATGCAGTGGTGAAAAAATTCCACAAAGTCCTACTTCTGTGGGAGTTGTTCTGGAAGGGAGCTTATGAGACCAAGGAAACAAACATGCCAATTTCAAATAGAGATAAGTGCTACAAAAGAAGTGAAAGAGTAACGTAATAACGAGTGATGGTGGTGGGTGTGGAGGGCACCTTGGAGTACGGCGGTCAGGGGCCGCCTCACTGAGATGACATTTGACAGCCATGGGTTTGAGTCCTAGTGCTGCTGCTTATTAGCTGTGTGACATGAGACAACCAAGTTACCTCTCTGAGTCTCAGTTTGCTTTTCTGTTAAGTGGGGCTAATTGTAGAAGGTTGTCATGGAGAATCAATGAAGTAATGCGTGTAAAATGTCTGATACAGGTAAGGCTCTCAATAAATATTAATTTCCTATAACTCTTCCCTCTTCCAAGCATGTGGCAAGCTCAGGCGTGGTTCCAGGGTTCTTCAGTGGGGACACTATTGGCAATCAGGTGGGATAATTCTTCACTGTGCAGGACCGCATGTGTGCATTGCTGGACGTTTGACACACCTGGTCCCCACCAACTAAATGCCAACAGAATTTCCCCAGTCATTTGACAACTCTAAAGCCATCCTGTATCAGTTAGCTTTTGCTGAGTAACAAATCATCCAAAACATAGTAGCTTAAAACAAAAAACATTTATCGTTTCTTTTTTTGTTTGTTTGTTTTGGTGAGGAAGATTGGTTCTGAGCTAACATCAGTTGCCAATCTTGCTCTTTTTGCTTCAGGAAGATTGTCCCTGAGCTAACATCTGTGCCAATCCTCCTCTATTTTGGATGTGGGATGCTGCCACAGCATGACTGGACGAGCAGTGTGTAGGCCTGCGCCTGGGATCCAAACTTGCGAACCTGGGCCACTGAAGTGGAGCTGCTGGAATTAACCACTATGCCACAGGGCCAGCCCCTGAGGTTCACTAACTTTTGATCTTCAGCAGATCTGAATGTGGCTAAGGCTCTTTGGCTGTGGCTATTCCTTTTTTTTTTTAATTGTGGTAAAATATACATTACAAAAAATTTATCATTTTAGCCATTTTAAAGTGTATAGCTCAGTGGTATTAAGTACATTCACATTGTTGTACCACCATCACTACCATCCATCTCCAGAACTTTTTTCATCTTGCATTAACTAAAACTCAGTACCCATTAAACAATAACTTCCCATTGCTCTCTTCCCACACCTCTGGCAACCACCATTCTATTTTCTGTCTCTATGTATTTGACTAATCTAAGTACCTCATGTAAGTGGAATCATGCAGCATTCATCCTTTTGTGTCTCGCTTATTTCATTTAGCAGATGTCTTTAAGTTTCATCCATGCTGAAGCATGTGTCAAAATTTTCTTCCTTTTTAAGGCTGAATAATATTCTATTGTTATGTATACACCACATTTTCTTTATCCATTCTTCTGTTGATGGACATTTAGATTACTTCCACCTTTTGGCTATTCTGAATAATACTGCTATAAACATGAGAGTACAAATATCTGTTTGTCCTTGCTTTTAATTCTTTTGGGTGTATACCCAGAAGTGGAATTGCTGGATCACATGGTAATTCTATTTTTAATTTTTCAAGGAACTGTTGGATGTGGCTATAATTAATCCCAAGATCTGCAAGTTAAAAAGACACGTTATCTGCTCCCCACCTACCTACTAGACACTTCTATTCAAAAAGTGGAAAAACAGGAGGAACATAGCAGTCATTGGTTCACAGAAATTCTTTTTTTTTTTTAGGATTTTATTTTTCCTTTTTCTCCCAAAGCCCCCCAGTACATAGTTGTGTATTTTTAGTTGTGGGTCCTTCTAGTTGTGGCATGTGGGATGCCACCCCAGCATGGCCCGATGAGCAGTGCCATGTCTGTGCCCAGGATTCAAACCGGTGAAACCCTGGGCCACCGAAGCGGAGTGCACAAACTTAACTACTCAACCATGGGGCCAGCCCCCAGTTCACAGCAATTCTGAAATCCAACTAGAAACAAGTTGCCAGATCTCCCTTCTCTGGGGACAGTTCTCAGAGTAAAGGAATGTTCCTTATTTAGGGTCTGATTCTGCTTTGTGGAGGGTCTTTCTAGTCCATTGTTCTTTGAGGCTTTTAGTTCCACCCTCAGGGATCTTGGCTCTACTTTCTGAGATACCCTATTTTCCATAAGAAATGGCCTGTGTTCATAGCTGGGTAGTTTCCTCAGCCTGCTTCCTGCCCATAGAAATTTAGGGGCTTAGAGAACTACTCACAATTTGGACAATCTCAGTCTCTTTTAATCTGAGCGGATACAAGTCTCTTAAAAAACATTGTGGGCTTTCTATGTATCAGATTTACAGTCTGATCCATTAGATAAAAGTCACATCCACAATTCTTTTCGACACAGGTCCACCCTTTAGACTTATTCTTAGCTATTTCAGGCCTAGGTCTGCTGCGACCATGTCCTTAAGATTCTTTTGTCTAAAGGAGAATGTCTCCTAGGTACCACCGTTAGTGTTTCTGACGTTTTGGCCGAGGGTCTTATATCTAAACCCTTGATTTGATCTTTACCCTGCAGCTATTTCTTGCTCTGAGAATCTTCTGCTGCCTGGATCAGCTGGAGATGTGAAAAAGTTTTGTTTTCCAACATAAGCAAGCCCTGGATTTTCCATTTCTTCTAAATTGTGCTTGCAATCTATAGTTCCTTCTTTTGCCCCTCTTTCTCTGTAGTACTTTATCACACACACAGCTAGGATTTAACCAACTGGTACCTTCAACATTCTGCTTGGAAATCGCCTTAGCTAGACCTAAAAGTTCATTAGGTACATTTTCTATTTTCTAAGTTACCACAGGTGACAGTGTTGTCAGTTGTTTTACTGCTATATAACACAAATCACCCTTTCCAGCCTGCAATGGCACTTTTTCGCCGCTTTTCCACCCTCCACTGATGATCCATTCACTATTTTTCCAGCCTTTGCTAATGGTTTTCTTGCTTCTTTTCCAGCCTCTACTCTCTGCCCCATCCCCAAACCAAAGTCACATATTGTAGGTTTTATTCTGGCTGCACTTTACTCCCAGTACCAATAATTGTATCAATGAGAGTTCAATTAGGGCAGCAGAGCCACAAAGAGCATTATGGAGAGAAGGGTTAATTTTAGGAATTAGAGACATTACACAAATATAAGAGAAACCAGGGAAGTGGAAATCTGGAAGGAGACTTGATGCATCAAAAGAAGAGTCATTACCCAGTCTGCCTGAACACCCAGAGTGGGTGGACAAGTTGGAGCTGCAGAGGAATCTGAGAGGCCAAGCACTGTTCAGGCCCTGAAGGGAGAGCTCGAGGACCAGTCTTTGGGAAGCTGTTGCCTCTGTGGGTCTGCATCCACACATCTGGTGGTTTACCTGGGGCTGCTATTGGACTTAGGGCCAAGAGTTGGGAGGATGATCTGGATGCAGAAAGAAGGGGAATGATGACAAGCTGGGGCCTGCCAAGCACCTCCGAATCTGTCCTTCCCCTTAGCTGATTGTAGACCTCCTGAAGACAATGGCTGCTGCTTCGCTCCTGCCTTCCAAATTTCACTCAAGTTCCTCTTCTGGCCAGTTCCGACTTGGAACACACAGGGAAGGGTATTCTGGGAACTGTACTTAACCGAGTTGATGATAGCACAGTCCAGCACACCTCCCATACATTTTTCCATGCCTTCTGGGGGAAATGGCACCACCTCATTTGAGGTCCATTGTGAGAGGCATAGAAGTACAGAAATCTAGGCATTTATGTGCGTTGGGGGAGTGGAACGGAGGGAAGTGAGGCACCATGCTATCATGGTTTTGAATGGTTGGTCCAATTCTATTTTCTGTTGTAAAACAGAATCCAGCTTGACTGTTCTTGGTGTCCAAGAATTATCTACAGTTGTGCTTTCTGACACTTGATTTCACACTAACCTATAGGCCCATTGTCATCTGTCTCCGTTAAAAATGATCTTATCAAGGATACTAATGACTTCTTTGATGCTAAATCCAGTGGACACTTTTTGGGTTTTATTGTATTTGATTTTTTTTCGGTGGAGGGGGAGTGTGAATTCTCAACCATTTCCTCTTTCACATTCTTTCTTCCTTTAGTACCGAGGATGGCTTCTTCTGTTCAGATTTCTCTTGTTCGGTCCATCCTTTAAATATTTGTGTTAGGGTTGTAGTACGCAAGGCTCTCTTCTGTTCAGTGGTGTGCTGGAGCCAGCTTGCAGCAGCTC